AATATATTTGTTCAATTTTAGGAAAAACACTCTTTCATAAATTACTTATTTTACAAAGAAGGAACCTTACATAAATTAATTCATTTTTGGACATTTCATGTTAAAAGTATTTTAAATAATAAGGAAATTATACAATTAATATATTAACTAAATTCATTTTGGGAAATTCTGAAAAGTAACTTAGTTACAAAGGGTTTCAGTGGAAAACCTTTCCAAACAATCTTTTTATATTCGTCTCTTTGATGATTTTAAAAAACACAAAACATTAAAATGTGTTAAAAAATTAGCGAACAGAATCATTGATATGATAAAGGTCTGAAATACCTACGAAAAAAACGGGCCTACCTAAATTTATTTTGTAACTAGTACTAGGAATGTGCCTTTTTAAGTGCCATTAGAAGTATCGATATTTTCGTAATAGTTTTAATTGACTTATCGATAAAATTTCATTATTTTAAGGATTTTATTTTTATCTAGCTACTAAAAATTACCAAAGTTTTATTGAAATATATTTAGTAGTTACTGTGCATTGGGGAGGGGAGGAATGGAACCCAGTAACGTGGTGAAACACATAACGCCAGTTTTCTGTGAGACCGTGGTATCACTCCGGTCGATCGTGTCCATACATTCACATCATAACTTTCATGATACATATGTATCGTAACTTATGTAACGTATTTTCCATCAAGTGGTCAACATTTACATACTTAAGATTAAGTAATTCTTGAGAGTTGAAAAATAAAACTGTTCGAAGCAATCATAAAATCAAAATTTATAATATACAGTAATATATAAATATAATCTTTATCTTTATATATTAAGAATCGTACCTAAGTAATCTAAGATTTGCAGATGATATTGTACTCTTTGCAGAAAGTGCATCTGAGCTAAGAGCTATGGTAAAGGAAATAGACGCAGTTAGCCGGAAAATTGGCTTGCTACTGAACACAACAAAAACAAAAATAATAACAAACAATAAAAAAAACCCCGATAAGCCTCGAGAACGTTCCTCTGGAATATGTTGAAGAGTACATATATCTAGGTAAGCAAATATCCTTCAAAAAATCTAGACATCGAGATGAACTGACTAGACGTGTAAACATGGCCTGGAACAAATTTTGGAGTTTTAAAGAAGTTCTTAAGTCAAGAATTCCTGCAAGACTGAAGAAAAAGGTACTGGACTCATGTATATTGCCATCTCTTTCTTATGCGTCACAAACATGGATATTCAACAGATACACCATTAACAAGATACAAACCACGCAAAGAGCCGTGGAGCGGAGCACGCTAAATATAAAGTTGAAACATAAAAGGACAAACATATATGTGAGAAATACAACTAAAGTTATAGATGCTTTACAACACTGCAAAAAATTAAAATGGAAATGGGCTGGCCATGTTGCACGTATGAATAACTATAGATGGACGAAACGGATAACTACTTGGAAGGGGCCGTCAGGAAAGATAAAGCGAGGTAGACCAAGGGAGAGGTGGCTCGATGAAATACTGAACACAGTGGGAAGTGACTGGTTAGAAAAGGCTTTAGACAGAGATCAATGGAGAAAAATAGAGGAGGCCTTTACTCTGTAGAGAGGTCCTTAATAAATATAAATATTAAATTTTTATATACATGAAAATCAACTACTTATTTATAAATTTTGTGTAGTATATTTTTTCTCTAAACTTTAAGCTAAAAATCTTAAATTGTTACTACAAATTTATATAAATTCGACACTGTAAAAAAAAGAAAAAAACTATGTAAATCGATTATTAAGGAATAATTGAGGCTTTATTATTATTATTATGGAAGAATCGTAGTAATTGGCGTTCCTTAGTTTCTGCCTACCCCCATGGGAGTCAGGCGTGAAGTTATGTATGTATGTATGTATATAATTCTTCTGTGAGTGTGTACCTATGTCACTGAACTTCTCTCAAACGACTGGACCGATTTTGATGAAATTTTTTGTGTGTGTTCAAGGGGATCTGGGAATGGTTTAGATTCACAAATCAGCCCGACAGATGGCACTGCAGTCGGTGTCTAGGTTATTTATTCTAAATGGCTGAACTAATTTGAATAAATTTTTGTTTATACATTCAAATGGATATACAGGACAATGTCTGTTGGGTCCGCTAGTCTTTATATATATAATTCTTCTGTTAGTGTGTATGTCACTGAACTTCTCTCAAACGACTGGACCGATTTTGATGATTTTTTTTGTGTGTGTTCAAGGGGATCTGGGAATGGTTTAGATTTACAAACCAGCCCGGCAGATGGCGCTTTTAGTTATCCTAAACGGCTGAACTAATTTGAATGAATTTTTGTTTATACATTCAAGTGGATGTACAGGACGACGTCTGTTGGGCCCGCTAGTATATAATATACTAGCAGCCCGTCCCGGCTTCGCACGGGGTAGACCATTATTTATTTTTTGGAAATTTGGATTGTTGTAATGACATAACTACAATAGTTGGACATATGCTACCGCGGAGTTTTTTGTAGACATTATGATGTTCTTCAATATTGTTGTACATTATTTTGTTCTATCGCTAATAGTTTCGGCAGCGCATTCGACGAAAGACATTTTAAGACTCATTTTTCTACACCTTCGGTTACATTGTTCAAATTTTAACAAGGATTCCTATTTTTTTCAAAATGAAATGTAGCCTATGTCAAATTGGAAGAAGGTAGCATTCTATTGGTTAAAGAATTTTTTAAATCGACCCAGTACTTTTTGAGCCTATTCATTACAAACATACAAAAATAGGTACAAATCTTTCCTCTTTCTGATATTAGTATAGATATCTTCGTATTTTTCGTACGGTTTCTTAATGTAATCTGGAACACCATCTTTCGAGAAGACTCCAGAACAAGTTTATTTTTAAATTTTTTTCATTGAACTGGCCGGAGGCTGCAACATAAATGGTATAATTTATATACTATTTATGTTGCAGCTCACTCGCTTGATCGATCTCTGGGGAGGCGGCGAACCTCCTTGCCGGATTATCGCCGTGGGATCTGGAGGTGAAGGTGCTTGCGCGCGTGTTTTGTTTGCGCGCGGAGGTACGTCGCCGGGGCGAAACTCCGCTGCCGCACCAGATTAGTGGCGGGATGAGCTCCGGCGCGATCTCATGACGGAATGGCAGCAACCGAGAGGGCAGGGTTGGTTTTAGCAGCGGTAAGTCCCCTCTTTGAGGAGTGGCCTGACGCAGGTGCTTACTGGACACGGAAGTTTCGGTAGATTTCTGTTTCGGATTGAGCGGGTCACCATCACTGCGAGGATCGCCCGGAGGACACGGTGTGTCCTTTGTGGGCTGAGCATGCCGTGTCGTTAGGGATGTGATCGGCGACGGCGACCTCTCGCGTAAGTTTGTTTTAAATCCATCCTCATCCTTACTTATATTATAAATCGGAAAGTGAGTTTGTTTGTTTGTTCCACTTTCACACCGTAACTACTAAACCGATTGCTTTGAATTTTTGCATAGATAAAGTTAAAAGTCCGGATTAAATAATAGGGTACTTTTTAACCCGTAAAAATTTATATTCCCGAGGAAAAATAAAAATATTGGTATAGATGGCGCTGTGTGTATTAGTGTATGTCACATAGGCTACTTTTTATCCCTTTGTGACGCCAGCGAAGCCGCGGGTAAAAGCTAGTATTTTAACTAATTTTCTAGTCACATAAATTATTCCGGTATTCGCTGTCGTTGATTGGTGAACATAGCTTCGAGTGTTTGTGTTATGTTGTTGTTAGAATAATATTCCATTATGCAGGATAATATTAGTATTGAAACCAAGGCAAATGTTGTGGCCGTATATTCGGATGTAATATATCGTAATATTTTTCAAATATCGAATGAAACCGGATTATGTGTGATACCTACAAAATAATAGAGATAAATTGCTTATTAGAATTGTGTAATATTTACACATTTTTTTAAAGAGATACTATTAGGCGTTGGGTGAAGAGATTTGAGAAGAAGGTAGTCTAAATAGTTGTGATAGGAGTGGAAAACCACTTCTTATTAGCCTACCTCGGGGACGTTATATGGTAGTTGAATATGAGACTAATGGTTCATCATATCATAATATCACGCCTTTTATCCCCGAAAGGGGTGCACATTATGCCACTTTACAATGTATCACCCACTTTTCACTAATTATGTCATAAGTCCCATGTAATAGGCGGTGAGTCTATTGCCATATACCGGGCACATTTCCGGATTCCGTGCTACTTCTGAGATTTTTTAAAAAACCCAGTAATATTTTGCGCGACCCGTGAATCGAACCCGAGACCGCTTGGCCTGCAGTCGCACTTGCGACCATTTGGCCAACGAGGCAGTTGAATTAGACCAGAATAGGACTTTTGAACGTCAACAAAAAATTAAAATTGAAGCTATTTGCTCATTCCAAGGTGTAGATTCCTATGGAACGACCAAAAAACTCCATAGGTTACTCTTTTTCAATCAGGTTCGCGATCAAATTCTCTAGTTACATAATTGTTTGGATTGTGCGAGAACAATGTAACACTAAAATCGAGTCAAAGAGATCGTAAAAAAAATAAACTTAAGGCCAGTTAATAATACGGTCTGGAGCTGACCAGTCCCAGTTAATAGCGCCCGATCACAAACATAACACGCACTGCCCAACTTAACCATATTGTAGTCTCATTATCGGTGGCACCTACAATGAGACCTTCGAGTGAGCATGATAACTCCAAACTGACATAAATGCATTCTACTAGTCCAATTTAATATTAAATTAATTACAGGGTATTTCATCTGGTGGTAAGATAGTATGTGACCTGGAGCACGGCTGCCCATAAACAATCTATACGTATAAATTTTCTAATAGGGATCAACGTTTTTGTAAAACTAAGTTAAACTGTCAAACACCAAGCGGTCACCGGTGACCGCAACCTATTGTTCTTTAATTGTGTCTATAAATACGGTACTCGACGAGTTAATGACTCATACAAACTAATTTTTCTCTATTGTTACAGTCAGTATCAGTGACGGTGTCAGTTCTGACGCTGAGCTTCATCTCCGTGGACCGCTGGTACGCCATCTGCTTCCCGCTCAAGTTCAAGTCCACCACAGGACGCGTCAAGACCGCCATACTTGTTATATGGGCGGTGGCTTTGACTTTCAGTAAGTATATGTACTTATTTTTACGTTCTCACGAAAAAGGTAATATGAACCTGATTGAAAAAGGAGTGTATGTATGTATGAAGTTTCTTGTCTGTTTTTCTCCATAGGAATCTTCACCTTGGAACGAGCAAATAATTACACAAGAGGACCGACCTACAGATGGACATTTTTTTAAATATTTCAGTATTTTGTTTTGGCGTTCAAAAATCGGCCTTCCTAGTCTAATTGAAATTGTCGCGGAGAACCTAACGGGTTACCGGGGCTCCGGCTCGACGTGCAGGAGAAGGAACGGGGTGGTTTTTAGTCAGTAAGAGTCTGACACTCCCTCCCGCCTCACCTAGACGGGACCACTCATTCGATAATTTCCCCCCCTTAAAAAAAGTCTAATTGAAATTATTGATTTCGACTTTGACTTTGCCGCGGGCGGAAAACTTCAATATGATTATACGCCGGAAAATCCCTACTAAAAAGTAGCTCGATTTTTCATTGAAGTTGGAAAGCCTTTAAAGGCCAAAAGATAAAATATAGCGTTCATAAAATAATGAAAACAAAATACTATCTATTTAATTAATAAGCATACTTATCTATAAGCTCGTCTATGGGAAAATAATAGAAATTTATCTATAAACCGGATTATCTATTACCTTTTATGAAATAATTTATTTTGCGTAACAAAGTGTGGGCTGGAAAATATTATCATGAATACTTTTACTCAATGACACTAGAGCCACTTTGTGAGCAGAAATACGATAGTACGATTGGAAGACCCATTTCAAGTGTGGGAGAGGCACGCTTCGCTACGAATGGGCCGGCTCGACCGGAGTGATACCACGGAAAAAAGCCTTGCCCTTAATTCTCCTCGCTGAACATTAACTCGCGTTTTATCTGCATCCATGTGCTCCACACATTTCTGATGATGGCGTTGGTTATCTTATGCGGAGTCTTGTGAACGCCACGTCATTAATCGCAGGATGATGTCCGGCCACCGTAAGTGCAGGTCTGCGGACGGTGAGCAAGGGTAACCCGCCGCCTGACCAGAAACAGACCCGAGCGTACGGCGCGTCGCGTTCCGCGCGCGCCTCAAAGAGCCATCAGACTACCACAGATGGGGCCCAATAGGGCCGATGCCGATTCGGAGTCGCGGAGAACCTAACGGGTAACCGGGGCTCCGGCTCGACGTGCAGGAGAAGGAACGGGGTGGTTTTTAGTTAGTAAGAGTCTGACACTCCCTTCCGCCTCACCCAGGCGGGAACAGTCATTCGATGATTTTCCCCCCTTAAAAAAAAAGAGGCCGCACCATCGCTTACCACCAGGCGAGATAATGCTCAAACGTCGGCCCATCAAATATAAAGAAAAAAATGTCCTGACCTGTCCGCGTGCTGAACATAGTCCTCCCCAAATGATTTCCATATCTGTCAGTTGGAAACGACCTTGAGAAAAATAACCATAACATGGGTAGGCAGAGGTGCACATTATGGCATTGTACAATGTAACACCCACTTTTCACTATTTATGTTATGAGTTCCATGTAATAGGGGGTGAGCCTATTGCCATATACCGGGCACAATTACAGACTCCGTGCTGCTACTGAGATTTTTAAAAAACCCAGTAATCCTTTGCCCGACCCGGGAATCGAACCCGAGACCCCTTGCCCGGCAGTCGCACTTGCGACCACTCGGCCAACGAGGCAGTATAAAAATAACCAAAAAAAAATCACAATCTACTAATACACCTTTAGCTTCCCCCTTCACAGAAGTTGGTAGTTAATTCTTACCCAATCACTATTACCGGTCCTCAGAGCTAATATTGAGCCTGTCTTGTCCAAATTGATGAGGGTACACGTTTCCTAGTTAAACAAAACTAGTGTTAATTCTCTTGTCTCCTCGAAACTATTGTTAGGGTATCCTTATCTTGCTCTAACAGATGACGAGGGAAAGAGATAGATGCTTCGAACAATGAAATTGATTTACACTATAGTTTCTGTTTCTCTTAGTCAATTTGAATATTCTTTGAATTGAAAAGCTGGGTTGAGTGGTTCTAAGCTTGTAAGCGCTACTAATTCAAAATGATTAGGTCAGATTGTATCGAATCGGAGACTATGGACTGCCAATAGGGTAGATGCCTAATTTTTATTTTAATGTCCGTCTGGTAGATTATTTTATATCATTAGACAATTGTTTTTTATTTTTTTACAGAAACGAATACTTTCGGCGATATATTGATTTGAAATGTCGCGTGACGTCACTTCTATGTACATTTTATACGTAGAAATGACGTTTTAGACCCCACTCCTAAACTTTGATTCGTTTTATCTAAGTATTGTTTTATTATACGACAAAATAAAAAAATAGGTACGTGTCTTATATTTTTTCTTCACCCAACTTACATCTCAATTGCAACTAAAGATTCTCTTTTTATAAAGTAATCTTTTTAATAAATTAGTTATTAATTAGTTAATACACGTTACTCTTAATAGACATTGAATAGTTAAAACTGTCTGGGATATTGAACTACAGGTCTACAATGAAACGAATGAGAAAAATTCTAAATAAAAAGATATCAATAAATTGCGCCTGCTACATAACGAAAAGTACAAAGACAATAAAAAACCGTAATCCCAAGCTATTTTGAAACTTTGAAGTGAATAATTTAGAACGGTGTCATGTTCCTAAAGTCCTACCCAACAAACAGTTAGGTGTTACCCTAACCCGCGGGGTAAAGTTGGCTTAAATTAAAAACTTTTATACAAAACTTGGCATAATGAAACCGTTTCGTTCGAGTTCATTTAAGATGTATCAAGAATGATTAATTGGCTTTAAGAGCAACACAAAGTATTGGAAATTATGGAGCTTTGTTATTAAGAGTTTCTTGGTAATTTGGGGAAGTATTTGCTTGGCGTTTGGTTTCTTTGGCTGGCATGTGTGTTTGCATGGCAGACTGTCGATTGCACGGTTGACGCGTTGGCTGGATAACCAGGTGCCCCACAACCTGTAGTGGGTTTGATTCTCGCACGGAGCAACTTTTGTGTGATCCACAAATTGTTGTTTCGGGTCTGAGTGTAATGTGTATGTGAACTTGTATTTGTAAATGCACCCAAGACACATAAGAAAATTCTATTAGTGTCTAAATAAAACAGAAAATTATATTTGATGGATTATTATGTTGACGTTTGGCAACTATCTCAAAATAGAAGTAGGTAATCTGGGTGATAAAAATAGAGGGCAATAGAGGGTAATCCATAAATACTTAACTTCACGCCTGCCTCCCATGGCAGTAGGCAGAGATTATGGACCACTAATTCCTACGATTCTTACATACCTACCTCTTTCGGTTACTTACTGATCTTAAAACGATTAATAAAAGTTGTTACATTGTATATATATGCAACTCTGTGAATCCTCTACCTACCCTTTGTGACAATAAGAAGTATTTAAGTAACAACAGTTTTGCTCAACATATTAGAGGTACATATATTAAGAAAGATTAATTGACTTTGGGAACAGAAAAAAGGACGGAGACAAATTATTACTTTCTTACTAGAGGGTTATAAATTGTTTTCCAATAGAACACATAGCTATGTGTTGGACAAGTAACATTATACCTCTATTTTATTAAGAATACTTTTTTGCTCTTGACGATGTGTATGATAACAGATATCGTGTCATCTCTGTCATTTTTTACAAAGAATTTGTAGTGACAGGAGCATACTTAAGCGCGACTTAAATTTGAGTAGCCTTTCAGCATTCGGATGTAAGTGACAAGTGCTCAATTGGTGCATGCTGTTAAGGCCGCTGCTATGAAACATTGGTTATGACTGGGTGCTGCGCACCGACGTCCTGATCGTTCGTCAGCGTGGTCTATAACCATGACGACGCACTGGTGCTAGCACACGGGAGGTCGCATCAGGTGGCGACTAATTTAACGGCTAGAGCGGTTACGACAGTTGTTGATAGCATCCGGCAACTGGGACTCGAGGTGGCGCTCCACAAGTCCGACGCCATGTGTTTTCATGGCCGCGGGATAGTGTCACCTCCGGGTGAGTCTTAACTCGTCGAGTACCAGTTTTATAGACACAATTAAAGAACAATAGGTCGCGGTCACCGGTGACCGCTTGGTGTTTGACAGATTAAATAACGGCGGAAGGGGTTACCATCGGCCTCGAGACGACGATGAAGTACCTAGGGCTCGTTCTCGACAGTCGGTGGAACTTCTTGGATGGAGCACTTTCGACGTTTGGACACTCTTGCCTCACCCGGGCGGGAGAAATCATTGGCTGATTTTCCCCCCTCAATAAAAAAGTACTGAGCAATGTTATTTTTTGTTAATTTGATAATTATCCAGTTCTTCATTTTTGTAAAAAGACTGACTGGTTAAAACGAGGTGCCACCTAATGTACGCAGCTCATTATGATCCTTCAAGGTCCCGTTAATTCACATTTATCTACATAGCGACAAGTACTTATCAATTAGCACACATTGTACTGATAACAACCTTTTACATGCGGTTTTTGTGAAAGCACTAAAAGCCCCAACCATTATTGAAAGTACTTTGTTCTCTTAATATTGTTACATAATTTTCATTTTAGTAATGCCATTTGAGGACGCGGGTGGTAAAATTGTAATGTATTTGTAACTCAGTGTTAGCTTACGACTTCGTTCGCGTAGAATATGATTCCTGTTTTATCCCATGGGAGCATTTAATCGGGATAAAAATTCAAATTCAAATTCAAATTATTTTATTTGTAGAACATAGGTTACAAAAGATGTTACAAACTTTACATTGACCAGCTATGTCTTGCCACCAACGGCGTACAAATATATTAAATTAATTTACCATTTATTAATTATACAAAGATTTCAATAGTCAGACTTGTCATTAAATTAAATCAAAATATAGGGTCATGCACTGTCAATATTATTATATTACATTTATCATTATTATTTTATTACAATCATTATCATATGTCAATAAATTAAATAAATAATATTTTCATTATCATA